ATATCACAGCCTCTAAATAAATACCAGCTTTGCTTACAAGGTACTGCCACATGAAGGATTGCCTCCACACCCATTTAATTCAATTATTTATGATTATTTTCTGGAAGTCCCTCACCAAGCCTCCACACTGGAAGCCATCTGGAGCGAGCCGATTCTCGGTCCCTTTAACGCAACGTCGCCGATCTGCCCTTCTTTTGGCCGCCACCTGGTGTCCTCGGGCGCTCTTTTGATTCAGATCGCCTCAGATCCATCACGTCACAATCATATCTGGCCGATCTATCCCGTAATATGACCGTACCCCTAGTAAGGCGATCATAGAATACCTAGCAAACATCCCTATTGACCGGCCACAGTACGGAGTAACCTCATGCGCCACAACACAAATTAAATTTTGGATCTGTTACAGAACTCCGCCTCACCTCTTGTTTCAGTATCCCAAATAATAGGTTTTGCCGGGCGGGTGCCTGAAGATTTTTAATAGTCTAGGATGATTGCCTCCTCCGTAAGTAGTAGACTCCCTAAGAAACGCATCGCAATTCCCCGCATTTTTCAATATAATTCTACAGGGACGGGATCTGTCTAAGTGGCCGTTTATCTTCCCCTTTCCATTAGCGGAGGTATTATTAAATGGAATGACTACTGTCCTGACAAGAACACGCTTATTTCCCGTCTCCGAGCTTGCGGGCACTGACTGGCTGTTCCACGTGGTTTTCTCCACCACTGGAGCCTATTCGTTGAGGCATACGATAGGCATATGTTTCACCTTCCTTCTATGGCGTCTCTCTAGTTCGCGTGTTAATCCCCACCATTCCAACGCAAAAAGGGGTATGGCCAACATCCTCGATCTAGAATTGCAAGCGGCAATTCGTAGCTCGCGGGTTCATACATCCTCTCAGCCTGCTTTACCTGTGCTCTAGATCAACGTCTTCTCAGTGTGCGTGCTTGCGGCATCTCTGTTCCTCTTTCCTCTTTCCTCTCGAGAGTCTTTCTTCGTCGATGTGTGCATATCCCAATGCGAATAAGCTTGCGAGATTGTCGATCTTCAACTCACTGCCGGAAGATCAAATTGGCACCGTTCTCGGACACCTACTCTTGCTGACGTTGCAATCAATGGTGTTCCAGTGCTCTAGCGGTGCATCGGGCGCCCAGCCTTGCGAGTATATAATTAAAAACGGACAAGTGTCTGTGCGATTGCAGATGCACGTTCGCATTTCGATAAGGCACGGCCCTCTTTATGTCATAATACGAAAAGCTAGAAGTTTTCAAGAATCTTTTATGTCTCACTATATCCCAGCCCAGGGGTGGACGTTTTCCTCGGGGACCACATAGCGGTTTAGCTTGCTTAAGCAAGCCCAGGAAAGGAGTATACGGAGGGATAGTCCGTATCCGTTTTCAGACTCGGTTGTTTCTACCGGCTACGTAGTAAGAGCCGTATGTAAACTATTCTTGTCACAAGTGGACTACAGATCATTCCCTCTTGTACGTAGTATCCGGCATGCATATAAAGCTTCCACTAGTTGCCACCACCACGGGGCCCGAGAGCAAGTGGCGTGCATACGAGCGTGCGCGAGGCCTTCGCCCTCGTGGTATGAACGAGGTGATCTCCTGCAAGGTTCTCCACGGACAGCAACAAAGTGAGCACAGGCGCTGATTGCTTTACCATGTGAAAAGATTCGGGCAATTCAAAGGCGTGGCTATGACGTGGTAAGGGTTCACTTGCGTTCCTTTGCAGATAACCACTCGATAGTTTGGGCAGTACCAAATCGCTCTTCTTCCTCACACCATTCGATGGTTCGGCAGTCCCAAATCGCGCTTTCTTCCTCCATATCTGTTTCTAACCACTTCGTTAAATGTTGCCGGCTGTTACCGTCTAGCTACCTAAACTCCACGGCGGGATGTGTTTACGTAGTACAGTATAAATAGGTATAAGTATGCATGTCAGATGCTACGTGAGCTCAGGGCCGGCGGGCAGTCCCTTACTTTGCCGCCCTTTTGCAGAATGCCGTAATGTACTCCTTGAGATAAGCACCAAGGATGGCCGACTTTACTCCTTGACGGTATGAACTATAGCGCCACCAGGCCTTGCTGTTTAAGCATGAACCAGTAGGTCCGAGACAGGTACGGAGTACGTACTTGCCTCAAGATCCTCTAACGAGTAATTCATTCCCTATATTTCCTTCTATAGCCCTAAAGTCTACATACCTCTTTTGCTCCAATACATCCTCATGACTCAACTTTAACCCTCTCCAATTGTGTATCATTCACGCTCCACAGTCGCTTCTTCAAGCAACTAAAATGGTCCAAAAGACCATCTTGCAAATAATGTACGTATTCCAAACTGGGCCGTGGAACCCCCACACACTTCCAATAATGCAAGAACAACAACAGCAACCTCACTACTCCACCAAGCCGCAGCCACAAACGCCGCAGTGCCGCTTTTCGTGCACCTGATCCAGTAATGGCGATATCTCCCTAAGCCCATTGCACTCGGATTTGGGACATTTCCCCAATGAAGTGCGCTCCCTGTTTGAAGGTATCCTAGAGCCAGGTGGCATAACTGGGATATTGCTGAAGATTGGGTCGTAGCCAATGCGAACATGGGGTCCGTGAGAGAGGGCTGAGGGACTTAGACTCTGAGTGGCCGTTTCGTGAATGGGGGGGTCCCGGTTGGCTCCCTCGCATTGCTACAAATGGACAGCCTGGTACTTCGTACGCTTGGACAACTTGCTTGGAAACGGATACCAACTGGACTTGAGTTTTGTTTGGTGATGATGGATGCCGTCTTCGGGAGTTCTGGGGTTTGCAGGTTCTCCGGCCATCGGGGTATCAGGGACCCAGGTGGCGTGGATTTGGTGTACGGGAGCCGCCTGCTTGGGCCGCCCATGCCCTGCGAAATAGAAAAGATGTGAGACTCGTGGCTACGTTGTGAGACGCGCGCGAATGGGGGACTGGTGTGCTATGAATGACGGGAGGTGCCGGTTGGTTAGGGATTATGTGGACGTTGTGTTTTGCGGCGTAGAAGGTAATATCAGGACATTCCATGCGTCTGCGGGCATGCTTACGTTGACTTGACGTGAAATTTTGGAGGATCTTTTCTGGGGATGTGGCCCGAGAGCTACAAGATGGTGTGGGTGTCTCTGATTGAATTGGCCGTTAAGTCAACTGCAGATATGCCTTCGAGTGTGAAACGCCACTGGTGGTGCAGAACCAAGTTTCATAGAGCTTGGGCATTTTCGTGGCTTGAGGCTCGAGATGAAATCATTAAACGTATGTTTTTAGATGATTGGTAGAGTTTGATTTCTTGAATGTTATATATCAGCAGATACCACGCCACCATGCGCGTCGTTCTGAATACAGAATTCCAGAGGGCATCAAGGGCCGGTGATCCGTCCAAGGCATTTTCATCATCTTATGATGTAAATCTGACGGGATTAGTCTTGGAACGCGGCTATCCTTTCCCCAGTAAAAGTCATGCGAATATATACGTAAAGCAGCGGCTCAAAAAGGATACTTCGTAAGTACCCATATGGAAGGACAGTAACAGCCCTGAAACTATATCTTAGGCTCACTAAGTTCCCCTCCCCATTGGCTTAGACATGCAAGATATTTTTCATATCAAAGTCTCTCAAAGCTAATCTATGGCACTCAGCCTAAGGTTAAATGAATAACGAGGCTCTAAATAATATTCTCTAACGTTGGAGTCTCCAGATGTAAAATGCTCCTCCATTCTCAGTTTCGTTGATCTTATCTTATCCTTCAAAATAAATAGTGATGAAGCAATAATATTCCGTACTATTAATCTAGGCTATAGTAATCCTAGATGTAGAATAGTCTTCCTACCAGTGGCAAGTCTGAAACTCAATATAAATTAGTTAAGCTTGTGGAATATTCTTTTGATATGCTACGTAGGGCTCTAGTAGGGCAGCCAGAATAGCTTATCTGAGGTCAAAGGGTATGGAGTGCCTCTGATCGTAGCATGTTCCTCCTATTCTTTTGGATTTTTGGGGTGCTTTGATAGTGGCCCCCTCACTTGATGTACGGCTATCTTGTTGCGAGAGAGCATCTGCGTTGATTTTATTAGAGATACGGGTGAGTATCGAGCGCTATATTCTTAGTAGAGTATTGAATATAGGGCGCCGTCAATGGCTAGAAATTTTTATTTGAGGTGGTTGTTCTTTTAAAGTGTGGATGTTGAGCTTGTGAGGAGAATAGAAATTATAATACTACATTTAATATTTGGAAGAGAGGTAATTGTAAGGCAATATTGCGCTTGCCAAATCTCCTTCCCCTGAGAGTCTGAAAATATAGTTGGAAAGCGAAGGGTGTATAAATCTCCATAGTGAAGCGTCAAATATTATGTGTTATCCATGACATATTCGAAGACACGGGCATTCAGTATTCAGGATCGGTCCGCTTATTGGCTATATATGATGTCTTTAAACTGGTCAAATTAACTCCTGGAATTTGGTAATATTTCAGGGCAATAGGGTAGAGCTATGCTGAGCTGTAGTTCTCCTAGAAGAATCTCCTAATTTGAGATCTATCTTCGACGACTAGAAAAACTCTACCATACTTCGACCAACAACAGCTAAGTAAAGTATCGTATCCCTAATTCGTCCGAGCCGGGCCACTCCTGAAGTAATACTGCCTTTACTGGCATGATAAACATTGGGTATTGAAGCTACTGTTTAACAATTCCGTCGATATTCATCGATCCAGGTTCGGCATTTCGTCCATGCGGCTCGTACAGATTGATATCATGGCAACCAAATGAATTTCCGGATTCGTCTTAATCAATATATCTTGATGTGGGATAATAATATCTGAGCTAGCCCAAAACTCCAAGTTCCCCTGGAAATCTCATGCGGAGTAGCATGGAAGGAAGCCCCAGCTGGAGGCCAACCTAAATTATGGCTTTAAATAAATCCCAGATTTGTGACACTTTGAGCTTGATTGTGGCCAGCTTCGATTTCTGGCGGTAATTGCTGGGCTTGTCATAATCATCGAACCGCCCGTAAGTTCTCTAACTCCAGTGACACATCCTCCAACAGATCTAGTAAATCAGCAGCCTCTGTTGAACTTATGTTTTTAACTAGAACCTCTAGCTGATTCACAAGGCCTAGTAGAGCTGGAATGCTGGTGACATATCGTTTTTGCACTCCTTGTGCTGCTTTCGAAAGAATCGCCGTCGAAAGCTGGAGAACCCCAATCTGAAACTCAAGAACCAAAGGAGGTGTATTGGCCGCTGCCTTCATGGATGCTGCCAACCCAATGACCGCCATCCATTCTTCATTTGGAAGATATGTTGATGGATGATCTATGACACTCAGTAAAACACGGACAATCTCAAGTCCTCGGGAGGCTTCCGAAATAGTAAGTGGGCTGGTCTGGATCGTTGATTCCAGGTCATTAAATAACACCATCCAACCGTTGTGCTCAAGAAATCCTTCCACGCCACGCTCTGAAAGTAGAATGGGATCCAGAGCAAGCAAGACTGGATAGCGGAAATCAAGTGTTCCTTCAGCGCTTCCATTGTAAAGTTCAACGAGCATATCCATCAAGCCAGAACTCTCATTGCGTAGATTATCATTCTCGTCCTCTCGGATCCAGATAGCCAGAACTCTAATGCCAGCCAAAACCAAGGGATCAGCCACTACATCAGCTTCCTTTGAATCCCAAGTCAATGTGAGTCTTTTGCCCCCTAAGCTGGCAGCAGTTCCTGCACGGGCTTCGGGATGCAACCCAGACGCCCCGGCAATAGACGCATCCCATCTATCTCGAAGATATTCAATCATAAGAGACATTGTTTCGGAAATATCTTTCCGCAACTTCAGCAATAGGTCTGGTGGCATGCTGAAGGAGGGATGACTGGCTTCGTCATCGAGACTCCTGATTAGAAATCCTATGAAAGACGAGAGGATATCACACGTAGCTGCTAGCCGCTGAGATATGGAATAATACTCGGTACTATTGAGTTGCGAAAGCAATGAGGGGAATGATGAGCGTAAATCGATAAGGAGAAGATTGATTAAAAGGTACGAAAATGGTTTGCTGTCTTCGGTCTTCAAGATGCTATCTTTGAACAGCAGAATGGGGCATTGCACCGGATATGCTTGGAGTAAAACAGCAGCCAGTTTACTATAGGCAGCTCGACCAGCTGCGGTAGGTTTTTTCGAGACAAGGTTGCGTAGACTTGATACAAGAGGTACAAGCCAATTTGCCTCCGGGGATAGAGTCTAGGGTTGGTTAGATATGAGTCAACTGATAGCTTGAACTAGGAATGCTTACTTCAGCTGGTAACTTTGGGAGGAAATCGGCAACAGACTGCATCAAAGTGACTGCGTCTGTTTGTTTGAATACAACAACAAGTTTTGTAAGCACATTGTCAATGCTTTGCCGGACTGCTGGTATTTCGGTGTTAACCGTTGAAGCATTGAGCCATGTGTAACTGAGAATATCGAGCACAAGTGAGTGCTGAGTAGCAATCTCGATCAAGGGCGATAAGTCTTGCACACGTAACATCTCTAAAGCACCTTCGGGCTGGCTAACAATGGTCAAAAGACTTTGTAAAATCAACTCTGTGGTGCTCGAAGTGCTAAGCCATGTTAGTTAGGCCGTGATATCGAACAATGAGCGGGTCTACTAACCTTCGAATGAGTGCCTTGACAAGTGGATCTATCCTCCCAGTGAGCCTTCTCTCTTTGAGAGCATCTTGAGGTAGTAATTTGGAAAAGGTATGAATAACAGCTACAGCAAGATCAACCATCTCTTTCGCCTCTATTTTGCTAATTTTTTCATTTTCTTGGGCTTGAAGAAGGCGATCCAAGAACTTCGGTGACATGGCTTCCCAGAGGACACGCAATTTTTCTGGGTCCTGAACTAGCTGGCCATTGTCAAGCACACTCTTGAGAAGGGCGAGACCAACAAATCTAGATGTGTCGTTTTTCGTTTTGAGAAGTTCTTGCATCTTCTCAAATGCCGCCGATGGATCAGCTAGAGCCGCGGATTCCGCAGGGGGATTCGACGTGGTTACATCCTTCTCAGCCATTTTGATAGTCGTCTAATGTACTTGCTCTTAGATTCATGAAAGTACGAAACTGGAGAAGATGGAATATATTGACATCAGCGCCACTCCAGGTTCAAGGATGTGGGGTTTACCCGAGAATTTGCCGAGATGTCAGCCTCGAAGGGGTACAAGACGACATTAATTCCATAGGGGATAACATACACGCCCAAATCAACGATATGCGCCAGCAGCCTTGAATATGGCAAGCTCATCGACGAGCTATATGCAGCCTACATCGCAGAGCAGTTCATCGTCAAGCCAAAGCCCCTTACACCAACCAACCGTCGAAGACAACACCGATAGCGACTCCGATAGCGATGATCCTGTCGCAAGGCATATGAGGAACGAGGCATTGATTGCTGAGGACCCTCTAGAGCTTGATGGCGAGCAGATGGTATCATTCAAGCGCAAACAAAAGCAAGGTTCTGCATCGAGGTTTCTGTCGGCATTTTCTGGCAGTGGTGCCTCGTCACAACAAGCTACGCCTTCCCCCAGATATGGGTCTCCGAATCCCAACGGAGGCCGGCCGCAGAACTTGGTGTTAGGCGTTGGAGGTACGGATAGCCTAAATAATGCCCAGCCAAAAGATGGAGGCCCACTGGACTGGAATGTTGAGGGCCCGGGTCGAAGAGTCGGATATGAGGATATGACTGCAATTGATTGGATTTTCGAATATACCAAGGAACGACAACGGCTTCGCATGCTATACTCGAAGGCTACTGGATTGTTAGGCTACGTCCAGAAATCACTGGATGCCAGTCAAATATGGGTTGTCCTAATTCTGACTGGACTTGCCGCGGGTGTTCTCGCTGCAACAATAGACATTGCCAGCGACTGGCTTGCGGATATAAAGACGGGATACTGTACTGCAGGAGAGGATGGCGGGGGCTTTTATTTAAACAAATATTTCTGTTGCTACGGGTATGATGGGATTGCACAATGTCGGGATTGGGTCCCATGGAGTCTTGCGTTGCATATTACGTCTGGTGGGGGTAAATGGTTTGTAGAATATTTCTTTTATATCGCGTTTTCGGTATGTTCCCATCTTGCTGGATTTTGGAGTTTCGCTGACTCGTCCGTTGAAAGATACTTTTTGCTATTTCTGCAACTGTCTTGGTAAAGGAATACGCCGTGTACGCAAAGCACAGTGGGATTCCCGAGATTAAGACGGTGCTGGGAGGCTTCGTCATCCGGCGTTTTATGGGAACCTGGACGTTAGTTATAAAGTCCCTTGGACTGGTAAGTCAAATCATTGGGGTTTCGGATCGTCATTTACTAACTTTGATAGTGTCTTGCAGTTGCATCTGGAATGTGGCTGGGAAAAGAAGGTCCACTTGTCCATGTTGCATGCTGTTGTGCCAACCTTTTCATGAGGATTTTTCCGAGCATCAATGGGAATGAGGGTAAGTCTGGTTAAGTTGTTGCTTTTACCAGTGTCTAACGACTCTTAGCTCGCAAACGGGAGGTTCTCTCTGCTGCGGCTGCGGCGGGCATATCCGTTGCGTTTGGCTCTCCAATCGGAGGGGTCCTTTTCAGTCTCGAAGTTAGTTGAATACCTCTAGCTGTGCGGCTCTTATTCTAACATGGAACTAGCAACTATCTTATTATTTCCCGGATAAGACCATGTGGGAGAGCTTTGTTTGCGCCATGACAGCTGCCGTAACGTTGCAAGCATTCGATCCATTTAGAAGTGGAACGCTTGTTATGTATCAAGTAACCTATAGTGCTGGGTGGCATGGTTTTGAGCTGATTCCTTTTGTAATACTGGGAATATTAGGGGTAAGTAAAAGTGGATTGCGGCATGAATCTTATCTAACTCTCTGTTAGGGCGTTTATGGAGGGCTGTTCATCAAATTGAACATGAAGATCGCTCAATGGAGACAATCTACCGGATGGCTACCTGGGCCAATTATCCAAGTCCTCCTCGTCGCGCTCGTTACCGCTCTTGTCAACTACCCCAACCTTTATATGCGAGCACAGTCCTCCGAACTCGTGTACTCTCTTTTTGCGGAGTGCTCTAAAGTACGCGATGATCAGTTTGGGTTGTGCAAGACTGGAGCTGGTTCGGCTAGCACCGTACTCTTACTGCTCTTTGCCGCCATACTAGGCTTCTTTCTAGCCTCAATCACGTTTGGCCTTCTGATACCGGCAGGTATCATTCTGCCTTCCATGGCTATAGGTGCTCTCGTTGGGCGAGCCGTCGGAATTATCATGGATATCTGGGTCCACAACCACCCGACCTTTTTCCCATTCGCATCATGCCAACCAGATGTTCCCTGTGTCATACCGGGAACATATGCGATTATCGGTGCAGCGGCAGCACTTGGTGGCGTTACTAGAATGACAGTGTCGATCGTCGTAATCATGTTTGAGCTCACTGGAGCTCTCACCTACGTTCTCCCCATCATGATTGCTGTCATGTTCAGCAAATGGGTAGGAGACGCATTTGGCAGACGCGGCATCTACGAAAGTTGGATCCACTTCAATGGGTATCCTTTCCTCGACAATAGCGACGAAACCCTCATCCCAGATATACCCGCCAGCCAAATCATGACTCGGATTGAGGATCTCGTTGTCCTTACAGCAACGGGGCATACTATAAAATCCTTAAGAGGCATCCTCGCAACACACCCCTATCGCAGCTTTCCAGTGATCTCAGAACCACGAGAAGCTATACTGCTAGGATACATCTCCCGGGCAGAACTAGAGTATAACCTCCATACTTCAACCCAACCCCCACGTTCACTTTCCCCAGAAACAGAAGCCTACTTCTCGCATCAGCCCCTCGCCGACCCCCGGACGACGCTTGACCTCCGACAATGGATGGACCAAACGCCACTCACCCTCCCCTCACGCTCAAGTCTCCTTCTCACCGCGAACTACTTCCAAAAACTCGGCCTACGATACGTCCTCTTTAGCGACCGGGGTGTTTTGCAGGGTCTTCTTACCAAGAAAGATGTATGGTACGTGCTGAATGGGGCGGAGGAGACGAGGAAGACGGCTGGCATAGTTAGGACTTCGGACTTGGGCGCGGATGAGCATGGTGAGGGGAGGGGCTTGTTAGATAGCAGTCGAGAAAATAGTGAGGATGGGACACAGATTAATTCTGGGGATACGCCGATTTTATGACGCTACTCAGGTATAAATACGTCTGAGTTGTAATATATAGTACTAAACATCCTTTTCTGACCTCTAAGATGTTGGTAACCTGTAGAGCATTGCATGCTTTATTGCATACTGTCGTCATGTTTGTGCACCGCTACTACTAACTATTTTAATAGACCTTAATGATCTCTGTAGGCAGAGCTATTAGAAATTTGGATGTTACTAACTCCTACATCGACCATCCGCGGAGCGTCGCTTCTCACTTTAACAACTTTTTGATAGATATTGATCGGCTATCTACGTCAATCATACAAGCCCGCAAGGAGGCACCGTCAAATGACCTATTACATGTACACGCCAATCCAGACTTCGGCCCTTCCCTCCACATTATCACCATCCCATCACCAGCGAAAGACCAGTGTATCCCGCCAAACCAATCAACCCCAGCTGCGCAATCCAGAATGGCATACCCTTCAATCTGCCCTTGCCATCGCCACCACCGCTAGAATAACCCACCATATAAACATATCTGAAGACCGTCCAGGTGGCACCCAAAGAGGCCGCCGCGAGGGGGAACCGCAAGCCTCCGATTAGCATTGCTGCGACTGCGGTGGGCTGGTTCTCGATGAAGTTCGCGTGGCTGCGCTGCGCACAATTGAATTTCTGGGCTGCCTCATCGGTGCGGTCGGCGGGCGCGTAGCCTGCTGGGTAGGCCACTTTGGCTGCTTTGCGGTATTTGCCTGAGTTGGCGCCGTGGACGAAGTTCATGAAGAAGGTAGAGGTTGCGGCGAGGAGGACGTAGCTATACGCGGATATTTGGGTTAGCATTGCTTTTGCGCCGGAAGAGATAGGAGAAGTAATTGGATCGTAGTGAAGGGAAGAGCGCCATACCCATAGTTGGGGTCAATTGCAATGGTAGCCATTATTGCGGTTTGTTGATTGAATAGTCTGGTTTGGTGTTTAGGACAAGTCTGTGTTGTGAGGAGCTTTAAAGTTGTTTATTTAGTCTGGAGGAATGGAGAAAAGCTTGTACTCTCAAGAATTTATAAGGGAAACCGGATTTGATTAAAGGAGACGTGGTCTAACGGTTGCCTCCCTACATATGGAACAAGCAATTGCTAGTGACAGATGATGCTCATTCTGGAATCAATTAGAATCCGTAACTCCGCGCCGAGGGGCGGCCAAGTGGCTAAAGGAGTCTATGGTTGCGCCGGCGCCGACGGTAAAGCCCATAAAACTCTCCGGAGGCAGGGAGAGACGGCGCTCATTGGTAACGATCGCTAATAATTGCATTGCGACTCTATCTCACCCTCCCACTATCATCGAAGGGGACGCGTCGCAATCAGGGTAGCCTGGCGTGGGGAATGGAGTCACCACCCGCCGTATGGATGGATATGCTGTGCGATGATGGGAAGCCAATTGTGCGACGTCGCATGACGTCTGCAAGAAACAAGTTCTGTGTCGTGCACGACTCGGGAAGTGATCGCTGTTGGCTGCAGTGCAACTTAGCACCTGAAATGCAATGGGTTCTCCCAACCTGGAGATGAGAAAGTATCCATCTTTTGACCAGGTATTCGAGGACATGTGTCTCTCACAGAGGAAGAGTTGGAGATCGAAGAGGGGGGGGGAACCGTTTTATATGTCGTGTTGCTGTTCCGCCGCCACGGTTATGTCAACATGATTACTCTAACCTATTTTCAGCACGAGTTAAAGCACGCAATTCTCTTGCTTTACTAGTCATCGGCCATTTTTCATGCGACTTCATTGGGGGACCCCTCGCAAGGCGAGTTATCTCCTTCGGTGATGATCCAGCTGCCTTCCGATAAGCAGCCCGGCGTGGTTGTGTATTTAAGCTCCAATTGGGCAGAGAAAGCCCAGATATCTAGGCAACGGAAGCCACTGAACTGCTAGTGGTCAATCCTTTTTGAGCTTCACATCAAAGCCTTCCTTATCATCGTAACTATTTCCTTTGGGCTAATTCTGGATAAGTATACCAATAAAATCTGCGAAGGTAGCACTTTGCTTATGACGACGACAAGTACGATTAAGAATCAAAGCTGTCGTTTCAATTTGGCCATGAGCAGAACTTTTTCAAAACATTTTCTAGTCCAAGAAAGGACGAACCTATGGAAGCTCCATGCTCTTCAAGGCCCCGAAACAAACAGTTATTAAGCCCTTATCTACTTGAACTGCTGCGCACCAAAATCCCCAACCAAGCCCATCCTCAATTTCCCACCCTCAACAACCTCCCTCTCCCTCCCCTTCAACTCCTCCACGCACCAATTCGCACAAAGATACCTTCCACTCAACCACGGCGCCTTCCCGGCACACAACCAGACCGCAACCCCGCCCACCATCGAAGGTGTATCCAGAGCAAATCGTTCAAGCCCGGCCTTGATTGACATATCAGTCATAACCATCCCCGGATGAAGCGCCACAGCCGTGACGTTTGGATTCTCGGCCGCTATAAACCCTTGCATCTGCAGGGCGATGAGTTTGGAGAGGGAGTAAGAGGATAGCGAGGGCACGATTTCGGTGGCGGCACCCGTAGTGAGGTTGATGATTGTGCCCTTTTGTGAGTGGTTGAGCAGAGCGAGGAAGCCGCGGGTCATTAAGAAGGAACCACGGGCGTTGATTTCCTTGAATTTACACGTCAGCTGAGTGTTTCTTCCTTTGGAAAGCCGGTGGGCTCTAGGGAACGAACGAAGTCAGTCCACCAGGCCCCAGGCTCGACTTGGCCCAGGGGACCTTGGCTTGAGAATGCTCCGGCATTATTGACAAGTACATCTGCGTGTCCGAACCTCTCCTTTACCATTCTCCATAGAGCTGTGATGTCCTCCTGTTTGAGGATATCCGTAGGGATGGCCAGAACCTCGATTTCCGAATTTATGGCATGAATCTCTTGAACCACTTCCACGAGAGCGATTGCGGAGCGGGCAGCAAGCACGATGCCCTTTGGGTTTGCCTTAGCAAAGGATGTTGCAAATGCCTTCATTCGCATTTATTATTAGTCATGGATGATTGTTTGGATTGTGTGAAGGGACAGCTTGAGGGTAGGAAGTGTCTCCTTACCAGACGCCCAAGCCCTTTACTCGCACCAGTTATAACAATCACCTTTCCAGCTTGACTATTTGACGGGGAAGCGGGATCGATTTCCGGGTATATATCTCGGTGCGTTACCTTTGTGAAGGCGTGTAAGGCGAGGAAGTAGTCGACAGGTAGGTTTTCCATTTTGATGAATGGTAGCTAAGTTTGGAATGGGCAGGGAAGATTGAGGCCTCAAACTCATATATTGAGAGGCTTACCTGGATATATATATACTTATTGTTACACTTCTAGCCCGCGAACTCAACCCTGAATAGATAACATCCAGCCCACATTATGGTATGTAGCCTAACGCCCCAACTAACTCACCGCTAATCACACTAATCCTTCTTCCCTTAATTTCCTTGAATCTGACATCGATATCCCATGTCTTTTTCAAATTGCCATAGTCCTACCACCGAAATCAGGAGTTCATCGGGACTGTCTCGCGCAGCGAAAGGCGACGAGCGAAGCGCTATACCGAACATGGAAAATGCCAGCGGAGCATATGCATGCGGATCTAAGCCGAAAATAGGCAATGACTAGGGGTAACCGTGCATATGCCTAGTGAATTAACTTAAAGCTTAACTTCATGCAGCCTTAAATTCTCCGGATCCATTGCCTGCCTTGTGCGTAGGTAACCCAACTTTCGTTGTGCTACGCTGTGCTAACTTTGTAGCCAGTATCGGTCTCCACGGTGCCACATGAAAATATAAACTTCTGCTCACAAATAACAATTCGCCTTATCTGTACCTGTGTAGTGAGCATCGCGAGTTGCATTCGCCACAAGACCAGAGAGTTCTATCTGAACTTCTACATTATATATCTCCAGCAAAATGCTCTCCAGCAACCAAGCCTTCCCATTGGACCCATTGGTCTAGGTCTGTCTCAAAAGAGAGAAGATCGGAGAAATCAGATGAGGCCAAAGGTTCGGAATCAGAAAGAGGAAATCTATCGTGTCTAGTCGACGTTCTAGTGGTAGGTCGAGATTCCGTTAGATTCTTTTGGTTGGATGAAGATTCAACCGACGGTGTTAGACAACGCCGAATCGCACTGATATATCCAGGTGTTGGTGGTTCCGCAAGCCCCTCGACTTTGGTGGCCGCGAGATAGCCGTCCCAAACTTCTAGCGTCCACTTGCCAAGCGCAGCATACACAGCTCCAGTATTCTTTTCAAACATTTGAGGGTATTTTGAAAGCACAGCTCCAATCAACTGCCATAGCCGATCAATCTCCGGTCCTATCTTGCGGTGTCGAGCTTCAATGAGCACGTACAGAAATGGATTCCAAAGAAAGCTCGTGCCGACCTGCCACAGGTATTTCTCCAAGCTAGGATTCCCTCGTACTAAATTCACGTATTCTAATATTTTTGTTGCATTTGTAAAGATTATATCCCGTTCGCTTTGGGGGACTTTGACGCCGCGATTGGCGAATCTTCGTGGGTTTGGAGAAAATAACTTGATCTTCCATATTGATATTGCCGACCTAGCCATGATTGATGCGAGATGATGGAGCGTATTAGATGGATCGCAATAACGCAGATACTTCTCTTCCCATAGGTTCTCGAGCTGGTTTATCATGCTGTCTTTTATGGCGAGGGTGATGTCAGGGTTGGAATCTATCTCCCAACCACCAAAATTATCTCGAATGGGTGATGAGAATTTGCATAGAAGCTCTCGAGCGCTGCATCTGATGAGGGAAACCACCATGGAAGTGATGCCCTTACTCTCTGGGGGTAGATCGACCATGTCGGGGCTGAGGTCTTCGTCTGCAATATTCAACGGGATTTTGGCATCGCCAGAGAAAATATCCATAGACGGCTTTGCACCCACTAAACCGGATATTCGGTAATCCATATGAACAAGATGCCACCAGAGCCGCCTCCGCATTTCTGTTTCAAAGGGAGAAAGCCTAAAAGATGTACCATCTCGGTGAAGGCCCATTTTGCGCGCCAGCCGTACGGCAACTCCTGATAAGGTAAACAGAGTATCATTCTGATGACTGCTTCTTGCACCCATCTACTTCGGTCAGCTACGGACTACAAAGAGTCGACATTTGCAGCTTACAATATACATCGCAAGTGCCTGAAGAGTCACTGGGCTAGTGGTTTCGAGGAACCCTGCAGTTCTCAACGCCCGGCGAGCTGCACATTCCTGCTGCGCAAATAACACTAACTTTTGACCTCCTAGTAGATCTCGGCATTCGTCTTCTGCTAAAGAGGTAATTGTAACAAGATAGAAAGCACAAATGAGGGCTTCTAGATTTTTCGGAATGTCTTGGGGATGTTGAAGCGCATTTGTCAGCTTGGGCCAAAACGATGGAAGGTGTAAAATTTTCATTAGAGGATCAACTCGATCGACATAAACATCCCATAGCTTCAGCAAGATGTGGTAGGGAGGATGTAAGCCTGCGAGGTTTTCGACTTTGGAGTGATCGTTTGGTGTAAGCTCAGGAGTGCCAAGAACGAGGTCAGACAGAGAATCGTGAACGTTCGACTCATCTGTGGGCCCAACAATGTGAGCTTCTCCCGGATACAGAAACTATTGATGTTTAGGACAAATTCCAAGAGTAATAAGGGAGAGAAGCTCAGGCTGACCCCTCCTTCTAAGTTGGACGAAAAACAACTAGGAGAATTCAGCAATCATTCACACTGGGGCTACAAATGGCAATAGGCGTACCTCTCAAAGTCTATCGGCGACCCTTCTTTATCAACGGATCCAGCCCTGGCGGCGGCATCTTCTTCATCAGACATGTCTGCGTCTGGCTGAGACACTGTTCCTACTGTTTCCGAGTCCGAGTCGCCGTCATACCTGGACGGTTCAACCTTTGCACCATATGATTTCAGCAGCTTTTCATATCGTCTCACTTTGGCATGGAGTCCCTCTTTAGGAGGTTTTGTTCTTTTCCTTTTTCCCCGCACAGGAGGGATAAAGCTACACTGCCACGTCGCCTTGATACAGTTGGAGCAAGGATTATGCCTATCGCATTTGATCTTGCGCTGTCGACAAGTCAAGCAAGAATAGCTCTTGAGATCAGCGCCAGATCCGGGCTGCCCCGCCTTTGGAGACCGAGGAGACATAGCTGAAAAATTGCTCATATCTGTGGTTCAATTGTTTAGCGAGCGAAAGAGTAGATAGTCATGGGCTGACAATAAAAAATCAAATGGTGTAGGGGATAGACGATGATGGATGGAGATGGAGAAGTTATTGTGAGCATAAGAATCTCGGGGCTCGGAGGGGAAAGTTCGACTTTTGAGCACCGAGAAGCGATAAGCGACCACCAGGCTTCAAAAAAGGGGTTCGGCACCATTCCACACGAAATTGGAGAACCAAACCCGAGAACCCAACCCGAGCACCGCTCACAGATGGTTTAAATACGATGAAATTTCCTCATGCCTTTCATCAATAATAATGTTCTGCTCAGCAAAATTATTAGGCTCACAATGTCCGATTCAGTGTCATATGACGACAAAACACCTATCCCATCACTCAAGGATACCAACCAGACAGTGAAGATGAACAATTTAGAGAAAAAGAAGCCTGCCGTTCCTAATTCTCCTGATGTTTCATATCCCGGAACTCAAAGGCGAATTCTCATTATGGTAGCTCTTTACTTGGCTATGTTCTTGGTGACTCTGGTACATCCCCCCTTTTTCCAAATAGCACTCACTCCGCTTACTCGAATTGAAGGACCAAAACATCATATCGACGGCAATCCCACGAATCACGGATGATTTCCACTCCCTCAATGACATCGCATGGTACGGCACTGCATATTTGCTTACCATGTGTAGCTTTCAGCTGCTCATGGGCAAAATCTACAAGTTCTATCCGGCTAAACCAGTCTTCCTCAGTTGTGTTACGCTGTTTGAGGTTGGTTCGGCGGTCTGCGGGGCAGCTTCAAACTCGAAAGTTTTCATTGTTGGCCGTGCCATCGCAGGATTGGGAGCTTCCGGATTGTTCGCGGGGCTTATGGTCATTATGTTCCACACGATCCCGTTACAACAGCGACCAATGTTCCAAGGGGCTTTTGGTGCCATCTTTGCGGTTGGGTCTGTGATTGGACCTTTAGTGGGAGGTACCTTGGTCGACAAGGCGACCTGGCGATACTGTTTTTACTTGAATATACCCGTCGGCGCGGTATCAATCATCGTTACGATCCTGCTCGTGCATCTTCCCAGCCAAAAGCTTGATGCCCAAGCTGCCGGATGGAAGGGGAAACTAGGACAACTGGATCCGATCGGTAACCTTGTTTTCCTTCCAGGCATTGTTTGTCTAGTATTGGCGCTTCAATGGGGTGGGACCGTGTACTCCTGGAAGAACACTCGCATCATAGTGCTCCTCATACTTTGTGGCATCCTTTGCCTCGCCTTTGTTGTGGTTCAAATATGGAAGCAGGAGAACGGTGCACTTCCTCCTCGACTTTTGAAGCAACGCAGCATTGCAGCCTGTGTATGGTTCACTTTCTTCAACGGCGCCGGCATGGTTGTCATGCTATATTATCTCCCACTCTGGTTCCAGACCATCAAAGGAGTCAGTGCCCTCAAGTCGGGAGTTATGCTACTACCGACGATTCTCTCGGTTGTTTTCGCCACCCTTTTCTCTGGGTTTATTATCTCTAAAGTCGGCTATTACGCTCCCTTCTTTATACTCTGCTCAATAATCATGCCCATCGGAGCCGGTCTCATAACAACCTTTACTCCAACCACTGGTTATGGCAAGTGGATTGGTTACCAGGTCATATTTGGCGTTGGACTTGGCTTTGGCGCGCAGCAGCCATTCAATGTTGTTCAGACTGTTCTCGAGAGATCGGATATTGCAACTGGATCCGCTCTTGTCACATTTGTACGCTTCCTTGGATCTGCTATGTCCCTGCCCATCGCACAAACCATCTTCCTTAACAGCCTCGTCTCGAACCTCGTCGGTCTTCCGGGCATCAGTCCTGGTGCCGTCACTGGTAATGGGGCAACTGAGCTAAGGGGTCTAGTTTTTGGAGATGACCTGGACACACTCCTGTCTGGTTACAATGCCGCTATTGTAAATGTGTTTTACATGGTGGTGGCGACATCCTCTGTTACTATCTTTGGCAGTGTTTTTGTGGAATGGTGTAGCCTGAAAGCTCGAGCTACAGAGCAGGCGCAAGGAACTGGCCATTCTAAAGAAACTATTGAGAAGGAATCTGTTTAAGACGATGTCTAGATCCTGTCCTGGGTGTAAAATCCAAAGGCTGTACCATAGATTATTTTTCACTATGCTTGCCTACTTATTTAATTTTATTATCATAGATTGAATGAGCCCCTATATTAAGTTAGAGAATAGTTCCGTTGGTTGAACTTTCGTGGCGTGCTACGCGAACTGTTCTCCAACCTAGCCGAGCTGCGTTTGAACTGCAAACGAGGACCTGGTGAGTCACTTTGTTGTTTCTCAAGTTGTCGCGATGACTACGCCGACACCTACACAAAACAATATTCAGTCATGGCGCCCCTTGAAATTGCTACAAAAACTAATCCAGTACTTGTGCTACCAAGCTTGGTAATAACAGACCACCTCGAGCGGACCAAGCTGCCCCTTTCGATCGTGAAGACCTTTCATGAAGGGCTTGCGCTTGCCCACAAGGCGTCCGTCAAATTAACTCTCGACGATGGGAAGAACTTGAAGAACCACGAAGTTGTCCAATACTTTGCGGAGCTTTCCAACAGCACTCTTAATGCTAGCCCGCAGTATATATCGTCCGTACGTATTTGCACAGATTGACAGATTTAAAGCCCAAGCGCTAAATGTCCTGCCACAGATTCAAGAATGGATCAAAAGAAGTGAGAGCTTCGCTCTAACGGACTTTCAATCTTTGCGGAAACCCTTGGATGAACTGAATTCTCACCTGACTTTGCGAACGCATATTGTAGGCTACAGTCTGACTATAGTAGATCTGGCTGTGTGGGCAACCCTTCGCGGGAACAAGATCATTTATGGTTCTTTCAAGAGGACCAAGAACAATGTATCTCGATGGTTTCAATATATCGAAGCCTCAAACCCCTGGATCTCGGAATTAGTTACGGAGTTTATGACCCACACAACAATGGAACGGGCTGCACTTAGCGCTGCTGGTGCTAGCTACGAGATCGATTTGCCGAATATCGAGGGCCCTATGGTTACTAGGTTTCCACCTGAGCCATCTGGATGGCTCCATATTGGCCATGCCAAGGCATTGCTGCTCAATGATTACTTCGCCCATAAACATCCAGGTGGGACGTTGATATGCCGGTTTGATGATACAAACCCATCGAAAGAAAACATGGAGTTCCAGGACTCTATCCTGCAGGACTTGAAATCGATGGATATTACTGCCGAGAATACAACATACTCCAGCGACTACTTCCAAGTAATGTATGATTACGCACTCAAGCTCATTAACGACGGCAAGGCCTTTGCGGATGATTCGGAGCTAGGAAACGGGGACGAAGATCGGAAGAATCGACTACCTTCTAAACGACGCGATCTCAGTATTGAAGAGACCTTGGAACATTTTGCAGAGATGAAGACTGGGTCGGAAGAGGGCCGACGATGGTGTATCCGTGCCAGAATTGCGTACGATAGTCCTAACGGTACACTGAGAGATCCCGTTATTTACCGCTGTAATCTCATTCCACATCATCGAACTGGCACTGAGTGGAAGATCTACCCGATCTACGATTTCTGTGCGCCAATATTAGATGCAGTAGAGGGAGTTACAGTTGCCCTGCGTACCAACGAGTACCGCGACCGTAATGCCCAGTACGAGTGGATGCAGGACGCCTTGGGTCTCCGTAAGGTAACGATCTGGGACTTCTCGCGGATCAACTTTATCCGGACCGTCCTTTCAAAGAGAAAATTAACCAAGATAGTGGACGAAGGAAAAGTTTGGGGGTGGGATGATCCACGAATGCCAACGATTCGAGGCATCTTGCGCCGGGGGATGACTGTACCTGCCCTTCGCGAGTTCATTCTCAAGCAAGGGCCCAGCAGAAATATCCTCAACCTAGAATGGGGCGCTCTTTGGTCTATGAACAAGAAGTGTAGCTCCCCGCCATACTGCGATCATCCAGGAGAACGCCGTATACTGCACCGTTCGTGGAATCGATGGCCCAGACACAGTCACCAAGCCGAAATACGTGAAGAATCTTGAACTGGGCTCGAAGAAGGTAATGTACGACAAGACCATAGTTCTCGAGCAATTCGACGCCCAGAGCTTCGAGAAAGATGAGGAAATTACACTCATGAACTGGGGCAATGCGTACGCGCGCAGCATAACCAGGGATCCACCGGGCAAGGTTGTTACTGGGATAGAACTTGAGCTACACTTTTCCGGTGACTTCAAGAAAACAAAGAAGGTCAGCTGGCTAGCGGCCGACAGCAAGAATATGGTCCCAGTCGACCTTGTTTCTTTTGATTATCTGATCACGAAGGATAAGCTTGAAGAAGACGACACACTTGAGGATTTCCTCACGAAGGATACCGAGTTTAGAAGCCAGGCTTTTGCAGACTGTAATGTGGCGGAGTTGCCGCATGGGGCAATCATACAGTTCGAACGCAAGGGATACTACAAGTTGGATGTCGCGTACAAGGGGGATAAGTCAAGGATAGTTTTCTTTGACATTCCTACGGGGAGGGCTTAAGGCGTAATATCGAACGAGTATATTGTTACTCTAGCCGTCGTTTCTAAGTGAGGTTTTCTATTGACATTTTTTACATGCGCTTGGGAGCTACATATGAATCATGTGAGGTGATAGAACATTTCTCCCCGATTGAGACAGCTCTGAATGTCCCGGAGCGTTGGAATTTTATCCTAGCGGTAAGAAGTCGGGGATCCTTCTCTGAGAAGGAGGTGAATTTACTCCTTATCACCGGACTCCAACATCGATACTCGCAATCCTTCCAACATAAAATATGGAACAGCAATTAAACTCCTACTACAATGGATCTCCGGGATCATATCAACCCTGGCTAGTCCAGCCGGCCATGTTTGAGCTAAGTATATCAACGGCCCTACTCTGTCCTCCTTAAACTTGCACGAGATTTTCCCCGGGCCTACCATCCTTTCTCCTGGTGCGTGAGTTTCTACCTGCCGCCCATACCCTCAGTAGCCGTAGTCTTGGCCGAAGACAACATCTGTTCTCGGCAACATTCGAGTGTGGTTATTGAAGTGTACAAGCTGTACTTGTAACCTACACAATCCATCTTGGCCAAGAACCAATTATCTTCACGTGGGACGGACACAAGAATCTGGTCCCTGACATCATCATCCGTGAGCGGATTGGCCGCTTCGGGGAGCAGCATTTTTAAATTCTGGAGCCTTTTGATAGATGACTCCATAGACTGCTTCGTGGGATCAAATGTCTGCCGATAGAATTGAGTTTTTAAGTCGGCGACAAACATTCGGTCGTTACACTTGTTGTAGGTAGCTAAGTTGTAATTATAATTATGAAAAGAAAGAGGAAAAAGAAAATTAACAAAAAAGAAAGCTCCTCTCTTTAGATTAAGAAACAAGAGATTAGTTTACATAATAATACAACTGTTTACGCTCAATTATAATTCCTTATTCAAGTTATACGTCCTTGTAGAGGGTTATATAATATAGGTATATAATTATCCATATGACTAGTTAGTATAAGTAAGCATATATGTCGGGCGTCGCTCTACGACTGTCACAAGGGTAGCTGAAGTGTGGGGAAGTGGCCAACCGTAGCAGGTGAGCAGGCGCGAACCTATCAGCTGACCAACTCTGCCTTCCCTACAGCCTCACGTTGTTTATTGACTAATCGAAAGAAAAAAAATCGCCTCTAGATGGCCTGGAGCCCTCATTTTTACGTACCTATTGTACTCTCTATTATACTCGGTGATTGGCACATCTATCCACATCATGACGCTCGGAGCGCTCACCTCGCGCTCTTGGGAGAGCCAAGCACACAGGTATCTTGAATCATTAGACCCGTTTTCGTACGACGAACCCTTAGAGGAACGAGATATCCGCCTTGTGCAGCTCCTCGATGCAGAAGCCGGGAGGCCCATTCAATGCAAGCTCGTCCGCGGTTCTCTGGACAGCGATGTCAACTATCAAGCGCTCTCATACGTCTGGGGAGATCCTGGAAAGAGAAGGAGTATTGCTTTCAATGATCGACGCCTTGGGGTGACAGCCGGGCTACATGATGCTCTCCTTCAGCTACGCGCAAACAATGGAATAAGGGAGAACTCTCTTATGTGGATCGATGCGATCTGCATTGATCAAAGCAGTGTTACGGAAAAGAATTCCCAGGTCAGGATGATGATGGAGATCTATTCCCACGCCAGTTATACAATCATCTGGCTGGGGAAAAGGTTCGGACTTTTAGATGGGGACGTGATTAAGGGTGTTCGGCTGCTGCATAAGATCGGTCTTGCTATTGTCGGAGTCGAATCGGTCCAGGAATGTGCAGAGATTGCTGACCGAGTGATCAATGAAGGGAACGAGAATCCAGATCAAAACTCGTTAGAGATCTGGAAGGTCTTTATGAGAGACTGGTTCGGAAGGATTTGGGTTGTTCAAGAGTTTGTGGCATCCTCCTCATGCCTGGTATATATCGGACCTATTATTGTGTCATCGGTCATAATATTTCATGTTGCCACCAATTTACGCTACTCCCGCGAATGGATCATTTCGCCATTATCCACACAACTGAGTCGTCGCAATCCTGCAGTCCTCAATTCTGGCCTTTTCTGGAGGCTGAAAGCTCAATATCAATCACCACAGAGAATGAAGCTTCATGAGATAGTAGTTGAAACTGCCACTTTCGATGCTACCATCCCGGTTGATAGTATTTTTGCCTTGGTTGGTTTAGCATGCGATGTGGGACCCGATTTCATCGACTACTCTCTTGACATACGAACTGTCCACATCAATATTGCAAGAAATGCCCTAACGTCGTTCGAAAAAGGGGATCTTTCAGCATTTGACTTCTTAACGTACGTCAGAGGCGATTTAGACTGTGAGGAGACTTCGACCTTCAAGCTTCCATCCTGGGCGCCAAATCTTCGACGATTTGATCGTTTTGACCTGGAGAAATCTTTGACTTTTTGGCCACTTGCCAAGGACTTTCCTTCCTCCGTAGGTTCACCACTTCCTGGTGCGTTCACAGTGACATTTGGATCCGACGATAGCCTTCAAGTGAAGGCTGTGTTCCTCGACAGAGTGGCGACGGTTCTCGATACCATTGTCCATAAAGCGTTAGTTGGCACTAGTACAGATCCTGAAATATTGGAGGAATACGCTCGTGGACTTCAGATCTGGGAGGCGAAAGCTCACAGCCTTGCCATATCTCTGAAGCAATATCCTACAAACGAAAGTATCTCTACCGTCTACCCTAAAACTCTCTCGTTCGATTACCTAGCACGAAGGAATCCTACGTCCAATATCGGAGAACTAGCGGCTAGCTACGCAACAGACTACGCTTTTTTCCAAGAGACACTAGAAACTATTGTCAGGCCTCAAACCAGCCAAAGAAATCGACAAGGCACCCAAAATCCGGACGACATGGCCTTGGAATCTCGCGCCAAGACTGTCCACGTTCCTTCCCGTGGCTTTCTAGACACCTTTGACTCTTGCTCTGTGGGGCGTTGCTTCTCCACAACCGAGAATGGATATTTGGGATGGGTCCCAGAGGGCGCACAAGCGGGCGACGATATTTGTGTGTTCCCTTGGAGCCTGACACCGTTCGCTGTGCGTCGACAAGACATGGGGTATCGGTTGGTTGGGGCTTGTTATATAGAGCCTATCATGAAAACCGAAAACTTTCGTATCCTGTATAGGAAGGCAAGAGAGATTAAGATATACTAAGTATTTTCCGGGCAAGGTCGTTAGTCGTAGGGTGTTTGTGAGTTCTGGTACAATATCGGTAAAACGGTCTGTGAGTTTAGAATTGCTTAAAAGAGTACAAGTAGAGAGCACGCCAATTTCGCTCATATCCGTAGTAGAGAATCTGCAAGCATATGTGATGTGTTACTGATCATCGCATAGTATATTTGGAATACGAAGTACATATCCGTTGCAATAACTAACTTAAAATACCAAGAAGGAATTCATAGACCTATCTTCACAGCTTCTGCTTCAATATCTACCCTCTCCTTTTCATGTTCAACTAATAATTTCTTCTTCTCCTTATCATATAATAACTTTACCTCGCAAAAAGCTCTTTGACTTTTCTATCACAATCAACATCGTGCCAGGTTTCCTAGAACTCAATCATATTCCAAGTCGTGTTGTCTTCTATTACACCTTGCTATTACTCGAATTCTTCGTAATCTAGAAAAAAGTCAATATCTGAAAGCTACTATTCGCATAAACTAGTGTCGATTCCATCATCTAGGTCGCAAAAAATATTGGAAGTCAACTATCTCAGTATAGCTATGCGTATAATTAAGCTTAACTATGTCGTCATACACAATCTTCACTCGTAAACAGTCATGGAAAAGCTGGCGAGAGATCCAGTTCAGGGGGGCTCTGGCTCCGAACTTTCGTGCAAAGAAACCTAGGGACGCCAATTTCCCAGGGGCCATGTTGTTGGAGTTCTCGCGCGGTATAGCGTCATACCTCCACAGTGGACGGTTGTAGAGAGTAATGCTCTTGAAGCTCACGCTTCATCAAGGTCTCCAACGAGACCTCATGTACTACATACTTCTCGGGTATAGCCCACTTGCCATCTCCATAGTGCCTGTCAAAGGCACGCGTCAAAGTGTCGACGATGCGATCACTACTGACACAAAGGCCGTGGGTTCTCGATTCCATTTGTCGGCATGATTTCGGAACTCTTCAACAAGGGCTGTGTCGGATAATGGATCACCTTTTGGCCCTTTCGCGGAGACGAACTTATTAAGTAAAGGAAATTAAATTATAAGTTTAAATAATAATATTTAACTTAAGAGTTCTAAGTAGGATATTTAAAATAAACTTAATATAGTCTCTAATCTCTATACTTTGTAAATAGAGTTTAATTTCTTTATATTCTCCGGTAAATACTATTTATCTAAGTTATATAATAGTATTAGTTACTTCTATAAGTAGATACTAAAAAAGTTATATAAAGGTTTTGATTATATATTAAAGTAATATAATATTATTGTTTTTAGTATTATTATTTAAGTTGTTATACTTAATCCCCTCTTTAGAGGCAGCTAGTTAGAGGCCCTAGAAGTGGGGCTGGGACCTTATAGGGACTACAGGGCCTCCGGCCCCTGTATTCTCTAAACTTATAACCGCGACCTCCGTATTAGTGCGCAAGTACATCCCTGTCCTTGACATCGTGTTGCTACGGAGGTACAGCCGATAAGTAAAGTAATAGCACTAGTCGGGGGCCCCATGTGAGGCGTCGTTGCTTATCCTATTGAGGTGTAATTACAAGGGAAATTATACTAGAATAGGATAAGTTTTGCTTACGTCTGGGGGCACTATAGCTAGTGCTATTACCTTACTTATAGGCTGTACCTCCGTATACTCTGGAAGGGAAAAGTTTCAATGTAGGGCACCCTTATCTATCTAAACCTCTCGTCGTCCCTCTTTACTCCTGGACAACACGACTTGAAATTCTTTGTTCGTATTTCCACCATTAAGAGCTATGCCAGTATATTTTGGCTATATGCTTCATCATGAACGCAAATACAGACAGGCACACAAGGCTATTTGCCGCGTTTCAAAGGCCTACGCGACGCGGCCCTCCAGGTTTGCACTTGCTTTGACAAGTAAATATGTCGCCCGCCGCCGATCCTGAATTTTGCTCCTAGTTCATTACTACTACTCCAGCGCCACTTCTCAAGAGTCAACGAATCTGTTGTTTGCAAGCCAAAATTCATCATGAAGCTCTCTGTCAGGGCAGTGTTTGCAATTTCTATGGCCCTCAAGTTGGCCTTGGGCGCCACATTCACCAATCCTGTGCTCTGGGAAGATCTTGCAGATCTGGATATTTTTCGGGTTAATAACACCTACTATTACTCAGCATCAAACATGCATTACTCGCCGGGTGCACCAATTCTGAGCTCGTCAGATCTTGTTAATTGGCAGTATATTGGCCACGCAGTTCCAACTCTTTCGTTTGGCTCGAAATACGACATGTCTAGGGGAACGACGGCATACGTCAAGGGAATATATGCCTCGACCATGCGATACCGGGCCAGTAATAAGACTTGGTACTGGTATGGCTGCATTGAATATGGGGTCACGTACGTCTTTACCGCACCCGCTGTTACAGGGCCTTGGACACAGAAAGCCAAGACCAGTACCTGCTATTATGATGCGGGCTTGCTCATTGACGACAACGATACAATGTATGTTGCCTACGGCAATACCCAGATGTCCGTTGCTCAGCTCTCCGCGGATGGGCTATCTCAAGTCAATACCCAGGTCGTCTACAACACTCCGTCAAGCATTGGCGTGCTTGAGGGCTCGCGAATGTACAAGATTAATGGAGCCTACTACATCTTCAGCACGAAGCCTGCGAATGGGCAGTATGTTCTTAGATCTACCAGCGGCCCTTTCGGACCGTACACTGTTAAAGAGCTCCTCTTGAATCTCGGTAGCCCAATTCCAAATGGTGGCATTCCACACCAAGGCGGCTTGGTTCAGACGTCAGGAGGCAGTTGGTACTATATGGCATTCGTGGACAGCTATCCTGGTGGGCGTGTGCCCGTACTCGCACCCATCAGCTGGGGCAGCGACGGCTTTCCAGTTCTCCAGACGGTCAACGGTGCTTGGGGTACTTCATACACAGCTCCCCTGACACTATCTCCGACTTCCCACACCGGTACGGATTCGTTCTCGGGAACCTCCCTTGGCCCACAATGGGAGTGGAACCACAATCCCGACACAAGCAAGTTCTCCGTCAACAATGGCCTCACGCTCTATACTGCAACCGTGACGAGCGATCTCTATCAGGCCAGAAATACGCTTAGTCACCGTATTTTGGGCCCAACTTCGTCTGGAACCATCGTACTCAACTTCGGGGGCATGGCAGACGGCGACCGTGCCGGCCTCGCCATGCTTCGTGACACCAGCGCCTGGATCGGTTTACGAAAGGACGGTTCCTCCATTAAACTTTCCATGTGGTCTGGCCTCACCATGACTTCGACCTGGGTAACTGCCAGTACTGGCTCTGAAGCGGCCAGCGCTACTATCTCTGGCACTCGTGTTTGGTTGCGAATCTACGCAGACATTCATGTCGGTTCCGGCAAGCAAGCTCAATTCTACTACAGCACTGACGGGCAATCTTTCACCCAGATGGGTACTTTGACGCTCAACAATGCTTGGAATTTCTTCCCTGGCTACAGGTACGCCATGTTCAACTTCGCAACAAAAGCTCTAGGTGGATCTGTCCAGATTAGCTCTTTCACAGTCGATTCGCCAGGCCTGACGAATATGCGAAATGCGGAGGAATTGGATTCATTGGGCGTACAACGTGTACCTCACCATATACTTGCAAGTACACGAATGGCTACTACTCGCAGTGTTTGTAGGCAGGTGGATTAGGCTACGGTCGAGCAACACCAATTGGGATGTATATTGAGTTAGGTATCGCGATGAAATACACTAGATCTCTAGGAGGTTAGCCCAATTTGACACTCTCTAAGCAAGCCCTCTCTTTTGGAGCTGTTGGTGTCCTGAAGTGAATATCTGTCTATAACTTGTCTGAAGTATAAATCAACATATTCTCTCTTTATCGCTTCAGACCTCCTATAATGAGTTCTTACTGTGGGGCCTGTAAAGCTGAATTTTCCTCGTGGGGGCTCCGTCGCATCCCACTTGGCGCTGTTCTCGGGTATCAGCGCAACATAGTCAGCTTTAATAATACTTAAACCCCCCCTATTAAGGGTGCCCTGATCTCCAATAGTGCCGAAGTACTTCTTCTTGAGGGCTTTGAACTTGCCATTAATACTAGTGGTGCTAGAATTGACCCAAATGTCGGCGCATTTGAACATAGCCTCGTCGACAATTTTTTTGACTCGACGAATTAACGAAGTCAGCCGATGCGCCGTCCTGCTCTAGAATCCAATAGGGCGATTTCGCGGCTTTTTAGGCCAGCAAGCGCTGGAAAGCCTTCCGAGGGCAGGCAGCGCTTCATATTTGGAGGAGGTGTAGAGTTGGGCGTGTGGCGCCTGCTGCTTTTATGAGTTGGACCGCCAAGATACACAGTCGCAGAGAAAGGTATTTCCTTCATAAATTCGGGCATCTCGGTAACTTTGAACCCCCCCCCGTTTACCTTTCACTTTTCTTAACGTAGTGTGCTGATCAACTCTCTGCCGATCTTCTCTCAGCGCGCCATGGGTGTGCCTCAGATCGTGATTGGCACTGAAGACCTCGAGAAAGGGCCACTTCCGGAAAAGCATGATCAACCACAGGACGAGCCTCGAAATATCCTTCCAACCGCATATCACGACGTTGTTGGGCTCAAGTTGCAGCACCGGCCATCGCTAGAATGTCTTTATTAGTTCATGAACCCTACTATAGAGGGCTTCGCAATACAGCCCTCTAGGAGAATAGAGGATTTCGACATCAGGGTTATCCATTTTATGGGGTCTAGAAACCCGACCCGGTAATCAAATGTTCTACTCCGAAAGAGTTTAAGCGGGCGGTTAGCGAAAGAACTAATAGGCAAATGCAATTCGCGGGCCATTCGACTCTCACCTGGAAACTTCTCCCATCGTTATGAGCGAGCTCGCTAGCCATAGTAAACAAAAACAACGTAGGATTGAATGACCAGCACGGGTTATAAAGCTAGATGAATAGAAATAGAAATCTTGTTTCCCACCGTACTTTTCCCAACAGAATCTGGGGAAATGCCAGAGGGAGGATGGACCCGGATGAGGCACATGCACGTGTTTTCCACCAGAAAACCGCCCCGGCATAAGGAGGAGCAGGGCGGTGAAGTCTAATAGAGTGAGAAGTGGTCTGAATACAGGTGGTAATACAGTTGCTGAAAAGTGAAAAAAATAAATAAGTGTTCAGCGAGGTGGATAGTAAATAAAGAATTAACTCGTGCTCTTCGTCGAATTTGAAGCCCTAATTTGATTCACGTTCAATTCATTCGAAAGGGTTAGGGCTAATTCGAGTTCAATTGGTTCAATTATCAACCCTAGCAAGGACCAGGATGTAACGGGTCGGTGCTAATACTACCCCGTTGGGTATATACTAACACTTAGCGTAAGGTTTCTGTTGCGTAGCAAAGTAATGCAGTGATCACTTATAATGATCACAATGATGAAGTATGATGAGTAAGTCAAAGTTGAGATCAAGTTCATTAATCAAGTTGAGCACAAAGCTCCTATCTAGTAAGGAAATACAGTTGCTTATATAGAACCTTTATGCTCCCGGATCTCACTGGATCCCCTATCCCCCAGGCTCCTGGATCCTCGGAGCCTGAGCTCCTGCAAGCTCTATCACGTGATGCAACATCCCGTGATTTCTGCCATCACGTGACCTCGTCACATGCCTTCATGGTTCTCTGTGGTAGTGCTTCAGACTACCCGAGCCTCAGGCCATAAGGTTGGCGTTCGTAGCACAGGATTCTTCAAGCAGAAAACACTGCTTCTCTCTTCCCGGCCTGACTATTCTGAATGACCTTAAGCAAAGTTGGATACCATCTGGCCGTAATCTTCTTGTCGCCAGATTCGTTTGGATGAATCTGATCGGACTGTAGATCAGACGTTGTAAACCCAGTATATTGGTCAACGACATATATTGGGGAAGATGTGGTATTCTTCAATGTCGCCCATGAGGCTATGGCACTATTAAGGCTTCGAATTCCACTATCAACCCACGGTAATGGAATGATTTGTGCAACTAAGTCCTGAGATTAGTATTTCCGTGCGAAAGCCTTTACGCAGGAAGCAAAACTATCTTACCAATAACCTTTATACTGCTTTTACTTGCTCGCATTTGATCAAGAAGCGTAGTGAATGCAGCGATAGTCTCCGCTGGTGTTTTTGAACGCCCGATATCGTTTGTACCAAGGTGAAACATAACAATGTCCGGTTTTGCTGAATTGAGCCATCCAACCAACTGATTCTTGTTGGCAATATCGACGGCAAGATATCCTGAATGACCTTCGTGGTTCCTGTCATAGTTACTAATTCCGTCGCATGTCGCCGCCGATACCATGCTACCGACAAAGTCGATATTTTTAACTCCTGCATTCTGGAGTTGCTGCCATAGCATTGCACGCCAACAAGTAATATCGGTAATTGAATCCCCAAGGGGCATTATCTTTAACACCGTTTGCGAGGTGGCAACTCTGAGGAGGCAGAATGCAACACTCAGACGAGTGAGTGCTTTGGGAATGAGCATGGTGAAAAGTTCAGAACTTGTGGTGAAGAGTTTCAGTTCACTGGGTGAGGACAGGAAGCTGAGACATCTCATATTATTATATACCCATTCCCTAGTGTTAAAAAGCCACGAGCAGTTTTTTCCAATGCCGAATTCGTGCTTATCGATGAAGTTCCTTGGAGCATTCGTTGCCAATATCCTTTTACCCTCTATTACGCCTAATATTATTTATCATGCTAAATAGACTATCTAAGATGTAGGTGCCGTCTGAAATGCATTTTTGGAAAACATATGTGACTGGCTCCTTTAATTCCATTCGCCCGATCATACATGCGACTATATGGGCAACTTTTCTTGTACGTTTTAAGTCTGAGCGGCGAGCTACCCTTGGCTAAACCTTGTATTCCGGGATTGAAACGCCCCGTCTGGACCGCCTTCTCAGATAGGGTGTGATCAGAATTATAACGAGGTAAAATGGCAGGGATACTTTATTACGATTCTCGCCTTCGTACGTATTAGCATATGGATTCAAAACCGGGGGCCGCCGGTTTAGTCTGTTGGCATCATGTTACTAGTGAACTGAACCAGACACTATCAGTTTAAATGGCTGTGGCTCAAGCCTTCAAGAATTCCCCCATGTCACACATAAATTTCAGATATTCAATACACAATAGTTCGCCCCTCGATTTTTTCTACTATTATCGCTGGGGTTGGTGCCTTTGCTACCCCTCCTCTCACCAAGCGCGCGCACTTGCAATAAATCACCAACTCCGGTATCTCGAACCCTACCAAAGTGGGCTTCTACATGTATGTGCCGAACAAGCTCGCTACGAGTCCCGGCATTCTCGTAGGGATTCATTACTGTGGCGGATCAGCTCAAGCCTTCTACAACGGCTCGCCATACCAAACTTTGGCTGAACAGTACGGATTCATCGTGATCTACCCCAGCACCCTAAACTCTAATGGTTGCTAGGACGTCAGTTCCAAGGCTATACTTACCCACAATGGAGGTGGTGATAGCAATGCGATCGCTGACATGGTGACTTGGGCCATTAACAAACACAATGTCGATACAAGCAAATGTTTTGTTACTGGCACGTCCTCGGGCGCCATGATGACGGTAAGACTGCTCGCTACTTCTACACAACCTAAGCTGACGAATTCAGAACGTTATGGCTGCCACCTATCCTGAATTGTTCAAAGCCGCTATTGTCTATTCCGGAGTGCCTACCGGATGCTTTGTCTCTACCCGAGAAACTACAACGAAACAATCAAGGAGTGGTCCAGAGTTTTCGGACACCACTTTACCAAGCCAATTCACACAGAGCTAAACACCCCGCAAGCGAACTACTACAGGTATACCTATGGAGACAACCTTCAACGCATCTACGCGGCTAGTGTGGGCCATGATCGTCCGATCAACGGATCCGAAGATATGAAATGGACCCTTTCAACGAGTTGAAGCAGATCTACCTGTAAGATCGCGTCGCCCTCAAAAGGAATGACGTATCGGAAGAGAAATGCAAATAGAGCATAACGTTGCCGATGAATATTTCCTAAAGCGTGAAGTGCCAAGAATAATTATATTACATACAGCCGACAAGGATTGTCCACGATCGGAACGTCTCCTGAAGGAACGTGTGTAATCAAGAACACTATGCCAATTTTCACCCCGCAGTTGCCCGCAAACCTTAAAGACGTCAGGAAACTAATTTAGGACATCTCATTGGTGCGCATAGATGAACAACGCAATTGCATCAAGAACATATTAGAAAGAGAAGGAGGCCCAGGAGAGATATGCATGCTCGTTCCCCCGCGTGCTCGCCAATCTCTGGACCAGTCGGTGAAGCTATACCAAGAGGCACTCTTTGGGGCGCATCGAAAATCCAATTCTAAGGGCAGCCTTGCGTGACCCGGTTAACCATGAGCCTCCTCGCCCTTTGATTTAATACCATCCCGGACGGGCAGATTTTCCAGTCAATCATGCCTTATAATATGCAAAAATAACAGTTGGATCCAGGACTCATGCAGATTCTATTCGTTCGCATGAAGGGAATATTTGGCTGTTCATTCGCAAAGCCTGCCCCCTCGCCCTGCGATCGCCCGAATGTCTGTTTGCCTACTCGGAGACATCAGCTTGCTCTTTGATAGTACTGTGCGTATGGAAGTAGCTTGGACACGATGCATATTTCCACATTTCAACTGCTGAGCGAAGGGGCCTTGATGGCTAAAATAACCAGGTAGCAGAATTCTTGACTCCACTGTCATGCCATGGTCCTATCCAACGGACTACACGGAAGTTGTATCCCCATGTCGGCTTGCTACATCGCCGCACATCCGTCGCGCCTGGACATAGTCACAATACTTGAACATAGTTAGTTGCAATGCGCCCAAGATTCGCACTCCTCCATCTATCTGATATGTCACACTCGCAACACAGGCAAAGTTTCAACAACGCGGACACTCGCTGCTGACATGCCACCCGCTACACCTCCCACGACCACGATCTTCATTGGCACCTTTGAAGGCATTGTGAAATTTGCTCTGTGAATAAATGTTTGTGGGTTCCGACGAACGGATGCAAAAAGAGACCGTTGCTTAAAAACGCAGAGACAGTTGCTTTTCATGTCAAAAGCATAACAAATTACTTTTCTTCTTGAAGTTTATTGAATTAGGAACTGGCAGAGATATATATTTTACAGTAGCCTGTGATCCCGAGCGAACATTTCGGCGCAAATATCTCCTCACACTACCTCCTGGAAAAAGCGCCCACGGAATACCGACAACCTTGGCCATTTCAATTCTGGTGTTGCGTCCGTAATGAAACTGTAATCGTATGATATTTCGTGGCGACAGGTCGCCGAGCTCGCTAATCTAGCCAAACCTAATCGGTAGTTGTGAGATCTACCCCACCCCCTGAATAAAGATTTGATGGGGCTCACTGGCGCCACTTATGCTCACCCTATATTCTTACACACACACCTCACTCCAAGACACTGACCGCCCACAGTAGCGCTTTAATTCTAGGTGGGCTCCTCTACCAGTTTGTACGGGAAAAATGTTCGGAGAAAAACGAAGATGTTATTCTCAAGTAACGCTAAGATCCTGCCGCTTTTTCAATTGCTGACTCATCTGATTAGAAGATAGAATCACCCCATAGCTCTCTTGATTAATAGCGGAGGTGTGATGTTATAGGTGGCGAGATCTACCCTTTATTCAGGGGGGAGGGGGCGGTAGAACATTTTCTTCCTGCAACTTTTTTCCAACCATTCACCCTCAAGAGATAATGACATCTAAAGTGTGCATTAGTATCATGGCCATGATTATTTTAATATACGCCAAACAGTCCCAGCTACAGCTTCAAAGTAAAATGTCTCCCAATTCTGCTTGTAGAGCAAGGCGGCGAGACGTTTATGGTTCCTAAAGGTTTTCATTATCTGCCATAAATAATCCGGAGAAATATATTATGAGTATACTGTATTACTTAACAACATCAAATCAAGGTCTTCACGACCTGTGGAATATGAACCATAAGCCAAATAGAGCGTAGTTTTTCGGAATATTCTTTCACGAAATTGAAGCCCAACCTAGGAAGAAAATAGGTTGTTTCTTTTTATTAAATATATTATTCAATAAACTTCATAATGAACTATCTACAATATTTCTTGCACAATGCTCAAACCTTTTGGTTACATAATGAGAATGTTATGTGAAAAGCCGGAGAAGACTTGATAGCCCAATTCCCCCAGCAAACATGGCTCCAACTGTTATAAAACTTGCTTTTGAGAAGGTCGACATGCCGCTAATGCCATGCCCAGAAGTGCAACCTCCTGCGGTCCTTGCTCCAACAATAAGGGCAGCTCCTCCCACCATTGCTCGAGCAATAGAGATGTTGGTCGATTCTGTAACCGGACTCATGCCCAGGTAATTACTTAAACACCAACTCCCCATAAGCATCCCAACGGCGAAGATGATCGGGCTCGGAGACGGCCATGCGGAGGTTCTGTTTGGCGACAGTCCTGTGAACCAACATATATATTGTCCCATTCTTTCGTATGCGGTTGAGACACCAATCGGTGCGTGGGTAAGAACGAGAGATGCGGCTTGTGCACCACCAATGAGAAGCCCACCAAGCATTGGGTTGAGACGTTGAGAGCCGTGACCCCCGGGCAAGAGGTAGGATGCGCTGAGGATGATAGAAAGGCATATGATTTCGTAGATTAGGATTGCCCTGGTTGGGCTTAATTTCAAAGACTCGTAGATGGTGACGGCATGTTCCTTCTTGACATCGGAAGACTCTTTATTTGTTGTTGATGATGTTGTTGGTGTGCATTTGGCACAGTGTCCTAATCGAGACCATACCATGCCTCCTAAGATTCCTCCAGCTAGTACTGGAAATCCAGAAGCGATGCCAGAAGCAACTTGTACAAGTACTGTTCCTGGACATGCACCTGTAAGAGCCATGCCACTCCCTAGGAGCAAACCTCCGATGACGTTTCCATCGTATCGGTGCAATCTGTTCAAGTTCGAAGCTTCGCGGGGCTTAAAAGGGGCGATATTTGTTCGTCTTGCTAGTTCTATGAGAACTCTATGGATTTGGTTAGGTTGAAGACCTCAAATTGGCCTCTTGAGCACTTACGCACTGCTTCCACTAGCTGTGAGGAAGACTTTCAACATGTGGAAATCAGAAAGGTCAAGCTGTGATGCTATTACTGTTGGAGAATAGACTCCAGATAGAAGAAGCGCGGCTCCAAAAAGGGAGCCTGATAGCCCGGTCGAGATAACGTTTGCTGCCATTGTAGTATTTTATGAGACCAAAAAAGTTGGGGTGTATTGTGTCGAAGATGAGGTCTGGGACGACGTTAACGAGCGTTAGAAAGGAACTGTATAGTTTGGGGTCCGGAAAAAGCTCTACATAGTATTTATAGGAGCCTTATGTGTGCTCGCTCATGAAGTGACTTTCCCGTTTGGTGATTAGCAAGCCTCGGCGTGCCCATGCAACCACTAAGACATGAGACAATATGAATAAATGTAGGTCGCCGAGCCGGACAGTATTTTTCTAGAATAAATTCCAAGACGTTCGATCCCGGGGTTTCAATACGTCGGCGACTTGGATACAGTGGTGGCGCTGAGGCTTGTGGCGTGGCATGGCGTTGTGGCGCCCGGGAGGGACCCACTGCGGAGGCTATATTTCGGGATTTAAACAGCCTGGTGTGGAGTCCCAGCGCGCAGCGGTGCAGTGTTTCACCTGCTTTATTAGTAAACATCTTCGAGAAGGGAGATGATCATCTCGAACTCCTTAAGAAGTTAAGAACCCAGCTTCCGAGGCGAATATTCCGTCATCACATAAGTATCACTTGCCCGCAAGTAATCTTATCCATAAATTCAACACTCCTCACAACACATTCATTCTATTTGGTAGAGTCCTCGGAGCTCGCGGACTATATCTTGGCATATCAATCTTGGGTATTGCTCTCCGTCTTCTAGTCATTTAATTCATGGCTAACTGTCTATCTAGAAGTTTTCCGTCCCGCCATCGCATCGATCAAGGCAGTCGATCTTTATCATAAAATGGTCAACAAACCAGACATATATGCATGTTTCGAGGCCGTTACCGCAACTTGGCAATACATAGTTGCTGATCCTCAAACTCGGGACGCTGTGGTAATCGACTCGGTCCTAGACTTCAACCCGGCCTCGAATCAAATCAGTACCGACACCGCCGATGGTCTTCTCGGGCTCATCTTGGAATATAACCTCACCGTTACCCGAATCCTCGAAACCCATGCACATGCAGACCATCTCACCGCTGCTACCTACCTCCAACAAAAGCTAGTCAGTCAAGGAAGGCCACGTCCAGAAATCTGCATCGGAGAACGAATTGCAGAGGTTCAAGCAACCTTTGCTTCTAAATACAAGATCAACGGCTCCCAGCTGGTCAACGTGTTTGACAAGCTCTTTCAAGATAATGAGGAGTTTATGATTGGGGAGATTCGCGCAAAAGTCTTGCATCTCCCAGGTCATACCCCTGATCATGTCGGATATCTGATCGGCGAAAACGTCTTTACTGGAGACTCCATATTCAATCCAGATGTTGGGTCAGCAAGGGCTGACTTCCCGGGAGGATCTGCAACTGCACTCTACTCTTCTACCCAAACACTCTTAGGCCTACCAGAAACTTATCGTCTCTATGTAGGACACGATTATCCCCCAGAGGCGCGTTCCAAGAATGATATAGGAGAGAAGCACAAACCTTATACGACTGTTAAGGAGCAGCGCGAGGGAAATAAGCATGTTAAGGAGGGCACGAAAGAGGAGGAATTTGTCAAGTTTAGATCAGAGAGAGATGCAGTCCTTGGAGAGCCAAGATTGCTGCATCAGTCTCTTCAGTTCAACATTCGGGCTGGAAAGCTACCAGAAGCTACGGAAAGCGGTGATATCTTTCTGCGAATCCCTGTCAAGGCTTCAAAGGAGTTTATGAACTTAATGCGGGGGCCAAAGTTGTAGAAAGGGAATTCAAATTGGATATTATTAGTGGGTCGGGTAGATTTATAGACTAAAATAGTTTAGAGACTGCGAGCAGCACAGCTTAGCATTCGCATCTTTGGGTCTTGTAAGTATAAACAAATTTTAGTAAAACCAAAGTTTTCAACTGTTATTCTTTAAATACTTGGAATCTCCGAAGCTCCTTTGCATATTTTATCTCATTTTAGAAAACATGACGCATCCCAGTTCTTTCGGAGAAAGAAAAAAAAGGGTCACAAACGGTGAGGTCGCTGTAAGTGCTGTACTTTCGTACATACATGCATGAGCAGCGACCAGGGATTGAGATCCAGATCACCTGCGAAACAGGGCTGTGTTCTGAAGGCTAGAAAAAAGTAAGCGGGGTGGTCGCCGTCCCCTCGCTTAACCTTGACAATTTCGGGCATTGCCATTCCATTGCCGGGCTTCTGGTCGCCGTTTGCAAATCTGGAGCAAGAATTGGGTGCTAGAACTTCAATGAGTAAGCCCGGTGGAAGTCTAGACTAGGGATCGGCCTTTATATATATAATTGGCCATTTAGTGATCATATATATAATAAGGTCTGATTTTGGCTATAATAATATAATTGAGGATAACTTTTGGGCCTTTTTATACATAGTTATACAGGAGTTATATATAACTTTATGTAATTATATAACGCAACATCTCCTGTAATAATAACGCAAATCTTACAACATTATATAATTATATAACGTGAAAAATCTGAACCCTAGTCTAGACCGCGGAAGCAATTACACATCAATTTACTACAAGTCACACAGGCACGGAGGTCTTCAACAGTGTCCCCATTCCAAATGTCACTTCCTTGGATTGCATCAGTTATATCCAAAGCCACAGTTTCGATTACCGTTCCAATTAACAAGACCCGAGGACGACAAGCAATCCATCCTTCACTTTCCAAAATGAGCTCCCGTTGGTGCCAGACAGATTCGGCACAACGTAACTGCACAAACCAGCCGGCACACTCATTACGCTGGAGAACGTTCGCTCATGCTCTTATTAGGGATGATTTTCTACTTGAGTGTCAACTACTTCTGTTGTCGTTCAGCATTGGAATCCAAGATGCCGCTTCCTTCCCTGACTGTTGGTTCCCGCCTCCCTTTGCACCATCTACCATCCCCCATCCCCCGTTGTGTAGATATGACTAACATTTCACAGATCACTGCTTTGCATCCAATCAAACGGGAAACACAGTTCTCCTCGCAGTTGGGGTGGCCAAGCTCACGACCCTTTTTTCACTCTCTAACATCGGCATCTCTCTCTCCATGTTCGTCCTCGGCGGCTTCCTCCCCGGACAAGTAGGAAACTACTTCGGTCCTCGAAAACGGTGGTGGTTAATGGCCAGCTCTATAATCCAAACAGCGCTCGTATTCATTGCAGCTGGTATACAATACGCCGGTCCCAGTCCAGTGGAGGACACTGGACCTCACGCATTAGCAGTGATTTCGCTGCTGGCTTTTAGTTCTGGGGCCCAGGTTGCAATGGCAAGGGGACTTCAGGTCACGGAAATCACAACCGCGATGGCAACTGCGGCATATGTGGATATTTTCATTGATAAAGAGATGTTTGCACAAAAGAATAGAAGGAGGAATAGAAGGATTGCATTTTTGTTAAGTTTGTTTGCTGGGAGTTTCGCCGGCGCGTTTGCGTATAAAGCACAAGGAAGTCCTTTTGCATTAATTGTGAGTGGGATCGGGAAGGCACTTGTGACCATCAGCTTAGTAGCTAATAGAGATATGGGGGAGGAGGATATTCGCATTGAGAAGAGAGGAGGAATAGTTTAGCGCATAGAAATTTAAAGCATTAACAATGTCAATCCTGCTATATATCTGACGATTGAGCGGCAAATAAGGTCCCAAGTCCAGCCTAAGGCCAGTCTGGCTAGAAACTTGCAAGAATAACGCTTTCCAAAATTTCCGGGCATTTCGCTCATGAAGACAACCAGCTGGTCATTGCTATAGTGTGAAGTACTCCCAGAGTGCCAGCCAAGGCATGAATATCGGCATCAAAGATCCTCAGTGCTGAGAAGTCTACAATTATGCAGATAAGTGAAGACAATTGCCACTCTTTGCCGGGGAATGGGAAGCGCTCGTGGTAGACGGCCATCTTGAGTGAGTCCAAACTGCCCCTAGAATTGATAAGTCATTCTCGCATCACGCTATTGGCAAGCGGCAGAGAGCCATGGGGGACCTGGAGGCTTTTCAGTTGTAAAATCTATCAAAATTATTACGAAGCGTATAGGAGTTCATATCTCTATTGGTTAAGCAGATGCTAGTCGTGCTTGTTGACATTGACATTCGCATTAAAAGGTTGTCTGCCATTGACTGAACTGATATAATATGAAGCCACTTTTGTCGCCAAAACTATTAACCAAAACTATTAACTTTGATGCGTACTCAACGGCTGCATTATGGGATAAGAGAACCACCAAAAGACTGGTCAGGGAGTACTGCTACCCTTGTGTGGGATTGAGCCTCAGTTGTAGGTAGAAAGTAATCAGACTAGCTCATTGTCCAAAACGGATTGTCATATATTCCCCGCATATGATCCTTCAGTTCAATATTACCGCTTACAAACCGCGAGGCCTCAGCTCAGTTATTCCACTATAGACACTTCAAAAGCTTTATACCAAAACTTAATTTCCAGTAAAGATATTTATAGTAAATTAAAGTCCAAGCCAATATCTACCAATTTCCACTTTTTGAGCTAAATTTGATTAACGGGAGGGATTATAATTTTGAAGCACTGGAGGTCACTTACGAAGTACCATTTGGCTTTGCTTCACAATCGAAGACAGATGCGGTGAAGTCACCCCAGCGATAAAGAAATGTATTTTTCCAGAGATATCAATGTAAGTGGCTGATTCGCGATTCACAACAGAGTTTTCAAATGTATTAATCTTGTTTTGAATTCAGAAGTCAATTGCCTGACTGACAATGTTACTAACCCCTACGCACGCTAATACGCATCCCTTGTTTTAATATCTTCGTGTACTATCTTTAATGAAAGAAATTTATGTTACTAAAAGACGAGTTTTTAACAATTAAAGGGTTATTCTACAGCTACCTAGGTGTCAATACTAACGGTGCCTTTGATTAGTTCGCCCATAAGATCATCTTCGATAAAATCACGCCAAAACTTCTCACCAGCAGCATCTTTCCGATTTGCATAAATGTTCTGCGCAACCATTGTCACCTGCTTTAAACCAATTCCAGCAGAAGGCCAAAGCGAGGCCACAGCTTTCAGAGCTCCTGTATTTATTCGTATCTGTTGTTTGAGGTCATGGTCCTGTGCCATCACTGGCAATTTTACCCAGAGTGACAGGTGGATAATAGAGGAAAGGGCGAGTGCACAGACAAAGAACTGCGTGTGTTTCACTAGGGGTCCGGGGAGAGTGACCAGCTTGCTGACATTGGATGCTGCTTGAATAGTTCTTCTAGTATAAACGGCATCTGATGTTGGTCCTATGGCCGGGACTCCAGACCCTTCTGTGCAGGAGGTAATAGTTCGCACGGCAAGACCATCAAGTGGTGAGAAGTCCCAGTAAAGTAACAGTGAGCTCCTAAAATCGATCAGCATCAAGGAAATAGGGGATGAATCGAGTAAAGAGGATGCTTACACATTTGCGATCATGTGAGCCTGGAATAGCATCTCATCGAGTGTTCCAAACTGGCCGAACAAGTCGCGTTTATTGTCGGGGAGGTGGAGATGCCAGTTAGTTAGATGCGCTTCCAACTGATATAGCGCTACATCGTCTGGGAATAGAGAATCCTTTGACTGTAGTATCCTATCGAGATTCTGTGCTGCGGCAATTCTGTATGCATATGAGGAGAACATTATGTCTTCGTCTTCGAAAGAGTCTTCATTAAACTGTTCAATTGTATGTAATTGCGGGATACACTGATAAAGGGGATTAGTAATATTATACCAGAGGCAGGGAGGTGACCTACGCCTGATGCAAATTCGTCTTCTTCACACGGTAAAGGCACATTTGACAGAGAGTCTCGATGGTAAAATGTCCCAGTCCCATGAAAGCCCGCCACCATGATGCTAACAACATATAGTTCCCACCAAGTCCTCCGCAGGCTTTCCTCGCAGGTTGGTGAACCTCGTCCATTGACCAATGAGTACTCCCGCTGGCTCATTCCGAGCTCTATAGCTAAGGTTTGTGCCTTGACAAGAATCTCAACGGCTCGCTTCCGCTCGTTGTTACCATGCAGTCCAAGAGCGAACAGAAGCATTGCTTGTACCATAGATGCATCCTTCGGTGCAGGTTTATTTCCTAATAGATAGGATTCAAATTCGAGAGCAAAAGATGATATTGGTGCTCCAGGTACGTATCGAGATCCAACATAAGATATTGCGGTCTGAAGATGTTCCATTGGGGTTTGTTTAAGTACCCGGAGAAGTTGGTGCCGTGGGGGTATGAATGGATGTGCATTATAGAAGTATTGGTAGAAGGCTTCCATACACCGATGTGTATAGTTAGGTCGGTAGTGGCGAGTATAAAGTCCGGTCGAATTTGCCTCGTTGCTCACTGGAGGAAGATCGAGTGATAAAGATATAACATCATCTGCTACTGGCGGCATCAAAGCAATACTCGAGGGTTTGACTTTAGTCGGCTCCGAAATTGCACCGCCAGCATCACTTGCTGAATTTGGTCAGCTACATGGTTATATTTTGACTTCAGGGAGAACCTACCATTTGATAGACAGATTTGTCTGCTTGAAGCATTTGGTCCTCTGTAACCACGGCGGGACTTCAGATAGACGCAAGGTATACCTTGCACTGCGCAGCGAGTGCACGTTCTCAATGCGTCGCATTTCAAATGTTTTTCACGACAAGCCACACAAGCTGTGGGCTTGAAACTTTGGTTGTCTGCTGCGGTTGGGGTTGAGACCGGGTGATTGGGTGAGTTGGCAGAGCCGCCGTTTGTTGGTGGAGAACCTCCTTGAATAGACCCCATAATAATTTATGGTGAAGTATTGAGCTGTAGATGCTGTTCGAGGGCCATCCAGTAGATCATGCGTGATAAGTAGCGTCACTAGTGACTGCTCAAAGAATAGCCAAGAAGCTCTATATAGCAAGTGTCGGGCAAGAAATGGGACATAATACTTTATTTTCGTAGCCCTGGACAGGACCCGTCCTCATATCCGAATCCCGGGGGGCGTTTAAATCCCGAAACTATTCTGGAGGTACAGCCCCTAAGTATAGTAATAGCGCTAGCAGGGGCCTCACTTTACTCCCCTTGCATCACAACCACAACGCATCACCAAAACGTGAAAAAGGAGAAGTGTATAATCCTCCTCATTGGCATTATTCTCGAGCTTAAATGAAGTTTTTTGGTTGTGTATATCAGAAGTTATCAAGTGCTGAAATTGCCTGTGGCGTTCAGGCCCTTGTCCGCTGTTACTATACTTATAGGCTGTACCACTGTATAGACGCGGAGGTTAGAGACCTGATTCATGGAGAGCGTGGAATGCACACGAGGTGCCTGGCTGCAACTGCAGCAAATGGAATGGAGACAGAGTACTGAGATTGCTATGCATAACTTCAATTTGACATGGTCCTGACGTGATAGGGCAGCGTGAAGTGGCGCTAAACAATTATTAACCCCTACACACTGTACTAACCTTACAGGGTCTAGCCTATGGTAGTAAAGTCGCCGAACATGAGATCGTCCTGGACGACCTCCCCGAGAGGAGGAGCCACTAACGACTCATTTACTATATTCTCTAGTGCAACTCGTCTCCTATTATTAGTAATTGGCTTTGATGACGTCTTGAGGTCCCCGAGTCTCCACGAAAGCTTTGAAAATCTAGAACCCTGTTGCGTGGTCTAGCATGTGATGATTGAAAATTGTTGATTAATGGGACCCAAATTGGTATACTTAATACAGGTAATTGATTGGTCAGAATGGGTCATGGAATGGGGTAATTGAATTGATTAAAAAGCCTAATACTATGGGGTGAAAGCTTCACATATATAGGCAAATGAATGTATAGGGTCAGGTGATCAATCAGGTGACTCAAGGAAATAATACCGATAGTATCCGAATAGCTTCCCAGGGCCTCTATCATTATGTGCTATACTAATTAGTATGGGATGCGATGATATCCGTGTATTCGGCTCATCGCGAGTATATATATCTCATTTCTCCTTTGTAGTAGAGAAGTGCTAAGTGGGGTACTTAAGTGGCTTGACTAGCTAGCCAGGGGAATTCCTATAACTCCTATATTCTAACACTCTTCCTCAGAGATTGACTACTTAATTAGGACTTATTTAAAGCCTAATTGGGCTTATCCCTAGAGTCGAGTTTGTTAGAGATATCTACTATATTGAGTTGCTGTACGAATTCGGCATATTTTTGGGCAAGTAAGCTTTTGGTAAACTTATCTGCTACTATTTTGGTAGTAAGTATCTACTCCACTTTAATTGACCTAGAAAGTACTTCTTGGCGCAACTAGTACTAATAGATATCAATATATTTGAGTTTAGTCTCCAACTGTGGAATATCTACAGTGAGAAAGTATATTATCTGTTGATTATCATAGTATAACGTCTATGATTGGTCGTTTTAGAAATCGAATTAGATAACTTTGAAGAGCTTATTCTACTAAATAAGCTCTTTGGCAGCTAATGAGATAGCCAGGAACTCTGCCTCAGTATTCGACGTAGTAATAGTCTTTTACTTAGTAGTTTTATAGTAGATTACTTTACTAAAGAGTTTAAAGTAAAAGTTATTTGAGTTATATTTAGTAGTTGGATTATCTCTATAAGCTGCGTTGCTCTATGCCGAAAAGAGCTCTTTGGATTGAGTCGCGTTACTATTGAACTCAATAGCCAATCTTTTACTACTTTCCAAGTACTGTAATAGGTAGTCGGCAGTAGCAAGGTATTTTGGTCTAGGATTGAGCTGAAATTCGGCCAATCTGGAGATAGCTTTGGCTACGTCGGCACGTGTAATAACGGAAGTGTAATTGATACTACTTACTTTTTGCTAGTAGGCAAAGATCTGTTGGGGGGTAGCTTAGCTAGTATAAAGGCCTAATTCTCTAGTTGGCAGTAAAGTAGATAGAGTTTTAGTATTAATATTGATATTGAATTTGGAGCTTATACTTTGAATATATGAGTTCTGAACAAGTTAGAGTTTCTTAGTAGAACGCTCTTTAAAGATTCTAATCCCAAGAAAGTAATTGGCTTCTCTAAGTAGACGTAAATAGTATTTAGCTATTAATTTAGCTTTAAATTAGTTTATTTTGACAGCATCTTTTGGGGCAAAAATAGTGATAATGTTATCTACGTAAAAGAATAAAGTAAGCTAAAAGCTTGAGTATAAGTAATTAACTCTAGGAATAGAGTAAAGCTCTAACTAGATTAAAGTAGATGTGAGTTCTTTATACTAGAGTAAAGGCGACTCTTTGAGCCTGTATATAACAGTTCTAATATTTCCTCCCTCGGGGAGTCGTATTAGAAGTGTTCTATTTCGTTTATATAGCGAAGTAATATAATAATCTCTTTTAATAATCTGTAAGTAATATCAGAGTAAGTGAATTACGGAAGAAGTTAAGTATAATCAAAGTAAACTGTTATAATTGATATTTAAGAATCAAGTTAAGTACGAAGCTCCTATCTAGTAAGGAAATTATATTACTTATATAAAACTTTCTTGTTCCTAGATCTAGTTAGATCTAGATCTATTCAGATCTAAAGTCTGAATAGATCTAGATCCCCCCAGATCTTCTTCACGTAATCTCATCATATGATTCTCTGCTGTTACATAACTTCGTCATATACTTCTATAGTTCTCTGTAGTAATATAGTATATTACCCGAGTTTCAAGCTATAAAGTTAGTGTTCGTAACACTATCCCTTATATAGTTTAACGTAGTCTTTTAGTTTAAAAGTTATATCGAAAACGTTGAACGTTAAATATAGTCTTTCTTCTTTTTCAATATAATTTCAAATTATAACAAATTTAAAAACTATAAATTACTTGCTGATTTTATAAATTCTGAAAGTGACGAAATAATACTCTACTCGAGTTATAAAAAGTATAGTCGGACTTACGTAGTCCTAAATGAAAAGTCGAAAAAGTGTAATGAATATGTCCGTCGAAGTTCGAAGTACGACGTCAAAGGTGTCGCAATCAACAGCCTCGAGTCCTTTTAGTATACTTAGGAGAAACTTCACTTTGAACGTGAAATAGCTCTAATAACAGCGATAAAAAGCTTTATTCGTGCTAAGTATCTGAAGAAGTAGTAAAAGCTTCTCAAACGTCGGATTTCTGATATAGTTGCTCAGGAGCTCTGTAACTTAGACGAGCTAAATGAAGTAGAAGAAAGAGAAAAGAAAGAAAAGAAAATAGAAGTTTGTTGTAAAGTAGAGTCGAGATAGTTAGCTACTACGACTAATAGTCTAAGTAGCGACTTTTCTTTCGACTTTAGTCTTTTACTAAATCTCGATAACTTGATCTAAGTAACTTTTGATTTTAGTAGTAGAACTCTTTAAATATCTAGTAGTAGTTAAGATAAGTTCTAAGTTCTTATATATTTTCCAAATATAAGTAGTCCAACTATTTAATCAAATATTTGACTATATTTCTAACTTATCTATAGTCCAATATCTGTTCGACTTCGTACTCGGCGTTTAAGTTGACTAGTTCTATTTCAGTTATTAGTGTTAGTAGTACACTTAGTAGTATTAGTTCAAGGAGAGAAATATAGAAAACTAGAAAGATGTTTATTGACTTTAGTAGAATAAATTCATAATTCAAACGTCCTTTGAACTTCTTAATTCTAAATAGTTCTAATTTCTTATAGTCTAGTTTATCGCTTAGTTATTTAGTTTTAATATTTTTTCTGAGTAAATAAACTCTGTTTTCTTCTTTTAGCGTTAACTCCTGACTATGTTTCGAATTGTAGTATAAAGTGTTTTTTTCTATAATAAACTGAAACTTACTATTTAGTTCTTTATATAGATTTTTGATTTCGTTTGTCTAGACTTATATTAATTAGTTGTCGATATCTGATATCTGAGTTTCGTAATAAACACTAACGTTATAACTATAATTAGCAAAGAATAACGATACTTTTGTTATATCCGTAATTGTACTATTATATGTAAATGTAGTAAGTGAGAGTAATAATACCTAATTATCTTACTTGTAGTTGATATAACAATGTAAATATACTTCGATTATCTGATTTATTCTTTCTGTTCTACTATTTGTTTATATATAGAAAGTAGTCGATAGTTTTCTTTTAACTCCTAAGTAGACAGTTAAAACTGTCTAAAACTTAGATGTGAAGAACTTATCCCGATCGGATATAATTTCTTCTAGTATCTTATATCTTGTTACAACTTCTCGTAAGAAAGCGAACGCAAGTTCTTCGGTTATACTAGATTCCAAATATAGAATAACGATTATATATTTTGTAAGTTGTTCGATAATGACTAAGATTGAGTTGTATATTACTTCTGTTATTGGATTTTTGGAAAGTAAGAGTTTAATAATAAAGTCTTATTAGATCGACTTCTATAGTTGTTCTAGAATAGGAGTAGTCTCTATCTTTCTGTATAATATGTGTCTAACGTTCTTGTTGCGAATATACACGTTGTATTCTCTTACTACTTACTTGACTAAAGTGTTAATTCTGTCAATATAATAGTGTTATCTAATTCGCTAAAAAGTCTTACTGATTCTTTGATATTTATAAGCTAGTACTATATAGTATCTGAGGATGAATTCTTTTACGAATACGTCTAAGACCTGCAACTTCCTATTAGTGTAGTCTACGTATTCCAGATCTTTCCTTTAGGACTAGATGATTTCATTATCTTATAGTCCTCTAGTTCTGTTGAAAGCGGCAATCTCCTTCGTATTAGGAACGAAGTTCCTGTTTTTATCTTCTCGAAAGATTACTACTTCTTTGTAGACTTTGTCTCTCTTGTACTTAAGCTATT